CCCCCCCCCCCACCATTACACATACTTAATGATCGCTCCCTTAACCCATCCAAGTGTGAAGTGTTGACCATCACATGAAAAAATCTGTTGGTGTACACATGCCTCCTGTATGAAGGAATTATCTTGTGTCGAGAAAGAGAAAGATCTTGGCGTTTACATCAATGCATGTAAATCTTATTACCAAAACCGCAAATTCTTATTTTCGTTTGAGAGAATGTGTGCATGATTGTTTCTTTCCCCACATCGCTTGCCCAAGATCCAGGCTGGAAAGTGTGCATAAAATATAGACAGCGATTACAAATCCAAATGTTACTTCCATCTGTTACTAGATTATCTACCTAATTAGTGTTTTTTTTTCAAGGGTTTCTGTTCCACAACTTGTTATCAGAATGTTTTCTCACTGCTTTTGCCTAGCCTGCTGGCAGCCCCCACCCGAAAATTTGAAACGGAAAACTAGGGGTTTGCCAAAGTGCGCACATAATCGTGTTCCGTGACGTCAGAACTCCTTGCATAAATTACTTAAAGAGTCGTTGTCTACGAGGATGCATTGCGCGCTTTTGTTTATATTTTATTTTCCACTGCTTCGCCGTGAAAATGACTTAAATGTGTGTGGTTCAAGTGTATGTGCTTGACAATGTTGAACTTGAAAGATGTTGTTTGCACGGATCAAGCAGTATTTTGTTTTGTAATTCGACCCATTCGGCAATCAAGCACCTTCCATTTAGGAAAGCACTAACGATTTACTAGAAAGGAAAACACAAAAGGCAACAAGATAGACGAACACATGTCGAACAAACACTTCCAAGAATAATGTATCACAGAATAAATTATAAAATTAATTCAGAAATTTAAGCCAATCATGACGCAGCTTAGGTTGACTTAGCTATTAAACCAATCAATGTGCGTTACTTATTTCCATGTAAGTGCATATACGCCACGGCGCACGATTAGCTTTGCAGTTTAGCATACCCAAATTTACGGTTTTCCTTTGAACGAAATTTCTGGCTGCAAGCAGGCTACTTTTGCCCTGCTTACCGACAAGTTGTGAACGGCTTGTTAACGACTTGCTACACGCCAGGTTGTTGACTACTTGACTCAACAGACATGTTACAAGTTTCTCCAATTCACGATTCCCCTTATTACGTTTTCGTAGCGCTTTGCATTGTGGTTATAGTTGTATCACTGATATTCAAGATGGCTTATTTTTTGTCCTGACCCGTGCAAGAACTTTTAAAAAAAATCTAGGGTGAAGTGCGCGATAGCCAACAGCAAAATATTCGCGAAAACATTCAATATTTTCATTCGAGGCCGCTATCTTTATCAGTGATACCACTATAACCACAATGCAAAGCGCTACGAAAACGTAATAAGGGGAATCTAGAATTGTCATCGTCCTGCAATTCAACAACTTGTTAACTAGTTGGATTGACTAAATTGATAACTGATTGTTACAAGCCTCTCTCCTTGGCAGAGCCACCTTAAAGTATTTACAAAAAAGTACACGAAGTGAGTGCGCGGGTCCGGAGATTGCGATCCTTGTACGCTTGCTTTACCCAGCGGCTCTGCCTTCCTCCCCCCGCCCCAATGGGCCGGAGGACTGCCCTTGTGAAAAGCTGAAATCAGGGCAGATGTGTGAGTAATGATACCCATCTCTTCAGTTTACCAATAAAAGTTGTAGTCTTCCCTATCTAGAATCCTCACTCCAGTAAAAAATGCGTATGGTTGTTAAAAGCACATTTGGACTTGAATTTGCGCGCATAGCAGCAGTCATGAGCGACTTCAAAGTTCAAATATGGCGGCCAAGTGAGCTTCATTCTTTTTATTACAAAATCCAAGACATCGTGCTATTTTGCTGTTCTATTTGCGTATACAGTGCAACGTTTTACATAAATATGTTTTCGATCTAACAAAATTAGGCGACTTAAAAATGGCTTTTTGTGGTTGTAACTTTTCTTCAAACCTCGTCCTAAACTACGTGAAATAGCGTTTTAATGAATCTAGAAATTCAAAACCGGACCCGCCTAGAATCAAAAGATTCTAGATTAAGAACGGACTCCCCTAGACTCCTCGCGCCTTTGGCGCTCGCACTCGAAATGCCATATAAATTTTTGCACCATCCCCAAAGTTTAGACGCTTGCTACGCCACTGAGTTTATCCGATTTGAAAACTTCATGCCATGCAGACCTCTGGGGAGGAGAGAAGTTACAAGTCGTGAGTGACGACGTAGTTGGTACCAACTTGATACACTTTGAGAACATTCTTACAACTTAATGACAAGCTTTGCGCCTCTATGTTCTTTTGACTTTTAAACACTTTGAAGTTTACCACCTTAACTATATGTTAAATTTTAACAGCTTTGATATTGTAATGAATTAATTCGTCTCAATATTTTGCAGAGGCATGTTGTACAGCAGTTAAAACAGAATATTCAACCAAGATCTGAAGTTTATTCCCATAAACAAGAGTTCCGTCCAACCTACCATCACGTATGTACTTGCGCACGTTTTTGGTCACTATTTTATTTGCGCGAGTGACGAGTGTTGCTTTCGATCACCGCGAAAACAATGTTGTAAGCTTAGAGAGTATGTCCCAAACTATCATTGTGCCAAGTTTGGTGTTCTTATCAGAACTTGAACAATTATTTCACGATTCTGCCGGACTGAATGTGGATTATGCTATAGTTCAATTTGCAAATTGTATAGAGGATATTAGATGGTTGTGAGGATATATGGATTTTATGTTCCAACGTTAATTTCGTTTTATATACGCGAACCAAAGACCATTAATTTTGTATTTTCAAAACAACAACAATGAAAATGGCGGGAAATTTTCGAACGTCGTATGTCGCTTGCAAGCGTGAAATACGAAAATACGCGCATCTGGTCTTGTGAGTTCTATATACGAGTGTTTTACTGGCATGTGAGTTCTACGAGTGTTTTAGTTTCCACCAAAACACCATTGTCCATATAATAAATAAAATTATGTCATTCAAAATCGGCTTCTTATTTCTATTTCCTACTGACCAGTATTTAGCATTGTTCAGCTGCTTGATTGCATTGTATATTCACAAACAGACGAGTACTGGCACTAAAAGACTGCTAAAATATGTATATGTTATCCCCGAGCCGACGGCGCGAAGCGCCGTGCGAGGATACGAATTCCCCACGGCTATTTACACCCGGGGAAACGAAAACATTAGCGAAGTCTAAAGTCCATCAATTATCGCGGGCGCTCACCAACGGTGTTGGGTGGGTGGTCATCACTGATCTCAGAATATGGCTGTTTGCCAGGAGTGAAGAAGGCAAAAAATATA